AAATATATGCACATAGATCTATTTCCCCATCCTCATATATAAATATATTTACATATGTACATGCCTTTATTTAGACCTCTATAAATGCCCTTTTCCTCCCAGCTCTTTCCTCTATATCCTTTGACTTTCCTCTTTTCCCACTATCATACTCAGTCTTCATTTGGGTTTCAGTAATTCCTCTTGGTTACATTACCCTTGATCATGCCAGACCAGGCCTCCTACACCTTCCTCTCCACTGATTTGGATCACTTGTTGTTCCCTTGTCCCTGCGTTTGTCAACACCACTACCTTTCCCCCCACCTCCCCCTCTCCCATGTCCCACCCGAACTGTCGGCCCCATTGTTTTCTCCTCCAGATTGTTCATCCAGCCTATCTTATTTAGACAGACCTGAGGAGATAATAACATGCACAAAAACAAGACAGAGCAAAACCAAGCAACAATATAAAACAATAACAATAACAACAAACCTATGATACAAAAAAAACAGCAAGAAAGAAAAGCTTGTTTTTAGTTCAAGGATTGTTTGTTTTCTAGTGCAGTCTGTTTGGGCACCAAGCCCTGGCCCCAATGTCCACCTTCAGCATTCCCTGGGGACCTCACTACTCCATTCTCTTGTTGTTCTGTTGCACCCCTTAGTGTTTTGTTTTGGTGTACACTTAGGTTTTAGGTAGCATTGTTTGCATGATTTTAAAGTATCCTAACTTTAAAATTATAAATATGTTTGTAATGCCGATGGATTATTTGAAAGTATGAATGAGCTGAACTTGGGCCTAATAGCTCTGAAATTTAAACTGTTAGAATATCCATAGTTTCCAAGAGATACTCCTTCATCCAAGTGGGGGGGGGGGGCTTCATTTTCTGAGGGATGGGAATGGGTGATGTTTATATGAAAAAGGAATAAGCCCTGGATGGACTGTCAGCACCTGGGTCCTCCTGTAGAATGGCTCTTTTGTCGTCCCACTAAGCATCTAACCTCCGCTGACTTCACAATGGGGCAGGAGAATCAAACTCAGTATCATCCAAAGGCCAATTCCCATGAGACAGTTGTCTTACATGCCTCCATCTTCTTTCCTCTTGGACCAGTTCTGACAACAGCCATCCTTCTCATGCACTTCTCTCCTGGGTTTTTTAATCCTTTGCAGTGGCCACATAGACAGAACTCATAAGCAATACACATGATTATGAGTTTTATTAAGTAACAGATTACAATGAAGGATCAGAAATGCTCAGGATAAAGTTCTTCTAATAAGTTATGCCCTCAGGTATACCTCTTTCTGATCCTTGGTCTCAGTCATGCCACCTCCTGGCCTTTACCCTGTTTAAGCAGTGTGACAAAACTTTAGTGCTTCTGAGGAATGTCCAAAGACTACTTGACTCCACCATTGGCTGAAAGGTACTTGACATTGACTGCATGGGTCAGCAAACCTAGCTTCAGTGATCAAGTCCCAAGAGGCACCCTACTCCATAAACTACTCTCCTGCCCATATACACTCAGCTTTTTTGCTCTGTGGACCATGAACCCACTGCTCTGTCTCATGCTCTCGATGCTGCTGCTGCTGCTCCTCCACCACTTCTTTGGTGTCACAACTAACTCTCTGTCTTCTTGATTTTAGAGGTTCACAATGCAGGGGCTCAATGTCCAAAGGATGTACTCCATTCCTGATTTTTCTTTCTTGATCCCTTCTTGTGAGGAACAGAAGAATTTCTCTTAAGT